CCCCATCCTGACCCCAACGTGCAGCTGAGGCGCTGTCATGGCTGCCTCAGCAGACAGCCGCATCCCGACCCTGTGATCTCTGCTTCCTCCATGTCTCCACTCACTCTCCAGGCAGAGAATCTAGCATGGTGCTGCCACATGGACCCTGGGTCCTCGCTGTTGGACTGGAGTCAAGTGGCAGAGAATACTTCGAGCTGCAGGCTGTTGTTGTGCTGGTGATCGGCCCGTTGGAGCGCTGCCTGTCTGGGGTGTGGAGGCTATTGTCTCCGCCCTGGATTTTGTGGCCTGGGGGAGGATTTGTTACAGTGTCCGTTAGCACAAACTTATGGCATTCACAACTGGCATGATAGAGTTTCCTTCTGTCTGCCATATGTTATTCTAACTCTCCGACTTTACTGTAGAATAAGAAATAGACTCCTCCCCTGCGAGATAGGAATAGGTTTACTGCTGTCAGGTTTGTTTTTCCATCATCTATCTACAGTTGGTTCTTTTTGCAGTAACAAAAAATAAATAAATAACGGAAACCCAACCATAACAAAAAACTGAAAATACAGAAGTAAAAAAAGAAGTGAACTCAAGAGAAATTAATTTCCTGGTGATACGAACTGATACAGTACATACAAAACGTAATGTTGCCAGTTTTAAGATGACTAAACTCTGTTATACTACCGTAGCCTGTATCTTATGCTGAGTCATCAATTGTGCGTAACTCACCAGTGTATCCGAAATATCAACTGTAATACATCAGTGAAGGAAATCACAATGTTTAAACGTAATTGTTAGCCTATTAGCCAACATCATCAACGGGTCATCCATTTCAGTATCACAGCATGCCTAAAATTAGCAACAACTCACGTGTCTAGCCGGATTCATCTTTCTGTCCTCTGGAAACTACGGTGGCCCCGAAGTGCAAGATACCACAGCATTTCAGAAAACACTACAGCATTTCAGAAAGCACTGCAGCATTTCAGAAAACGCCGCAGCATTTCACAAAACTTTGCTTTGACAAGTGTGCAGACAAGACGGCAGGCGAAAAAACTTTTAAAATGCTTGTTTTCTGAATGGAGATCGGATCGATAAGGCTAAACTAACCTGTAGCTGCTCCGTCCACACTCACAACAAAGTCATACAGACATGAATAAAGCATCGACTGTATTCACCATGACATAGACAGTCTGTGGTTTGTACATGTTCAACTTTTGTCCAAGTTCTGAACAGATATGAGGAGCTGTGAGCTCTGTGCTAACGGCTGATGTGTTGGGACATTTTGTGCTGACCAATCACGAAACGTCATTTCTTGACTGGCAGCAAAACAACCAATCACAGCAGTGCTTCTCTGGCCGGCTCTGTCCAATCACAAACAAGCAGTTTTCTGGAATACCCTTTCCGTCCAATGTGAAATGCTGTGGTGTTTTGTGAAATGCTGTAGTGTTTTGTGAAATGCTGTAGTGTTTTGTGAAATGCTGTGGTGTCTTGCACTTCAGGGCCACTGTACGAAACATGTTTTGGTTTCAGTTCCATTTTGTTCTTGGAAACAATTTTTATTTTCAGGTTTTTAAATGTCCAATGTGTTTCTGTATGTGAAGAGGGGTTCTTAAGGTGCACCATGTATTTTGTCTTTGCAGTGTTTTATTTATTTTTTGCAATGCGTATTTATATTAGCAGTGCGTTACTATATTCAAAGCGTGGTTCAGGTTGTGGGGTTTTTTTAAGTGTTTTTTTGTAGTCCGTATTCATATTTCAAACCGTCACTGTATTTTATGCGTGTTTTAAATTTGCAGTGTTTTTTTAAAGTTGCTTTGCGTTACTATTTTTTAAAGCATGTACATTGCGAATGTGTATCTGCAGTGTTTATATATTTTTGCAGCAGGTTTTTTTTAATCTGTAGTGCATATTTATATTTGCAGTGTGTTTCTGCATTTTAAGGCTGTGTTTATATTTGCATTGCATTTTTAAATTTGCATTGCATGACTTTACTTGAAGTGCGGTACTGTACAGTATGTGCATCGCATCATTTGCAATGTTTCTAACATTTCCAGAAGATTGCAGTGCATGTGAGAGGAAGTTGTTTTCTTAAATTACTTGTGTATGTGTTTTGGATGTGTTACAGTGCTCCCAACTCTCAGGGCCACTGCAGTTTCCTCTTCTTTTCCCTCTCCAGTGATCCCAACCCCCTATCATTCTACGAAAGCTCAGAGAGTAATGGCAGCTGCACACATGTAGCTGTTGTTTCTGCTCGGGGAACCTTGTCAATTATTTATCCATAATCATGAACGCATAAACTACCGCCTTGGCTAATCCAAGAACAACAACTACGAGTCTGAGCGTGCAGGACGCCCTGGCTAACACTTCCACCTCTCAATCAGACCATATCTACACAATCCCACCCCGATGAAACTACTGTTTTCACATAAACACACACACACACACACACACACACACACACACACACACACACACACACACACACACACACACACACACACACACACACACACAACCCACAAACTGCTCTTTACAAATGATCTCCCTCTGGACAAACCCACCAGAACATTCCAGGAATTCAGCAGGTCTCTCCTTCACTTTATCTCCCACTGCTCTATTTCCCATTCGTTGACCTCCTCCTCCTCCTCCTCCTCCAGCTGCCTTTCCCAATGTCCTCCCCCCACACACCCACCCTAAACTCCCTTCTCATTTTCAAGACGTTCTCTGACATCCCATTTGACTTTCTCAGTCTATTTTCTTTCACTTTCATTCGGAAGTTCAACGTCGTTCATCTGATGCTTTTGTTCTCAGAAATCTCAGCTCCCCCTGCTCTCCTGGCCCTCCTTCCTTTGTTTTTGTTGCCTAATAGCTAACGTTTGCTTTGTAACAAGGTTCCTCCTTTCCCCCCGAGATGAGCGCCTTGGCAAACAGCGGGGGTATTAAATTCTGAGGCACAGGAAGCATGGGGTTATCAGGGAGTGTCTCGCTTCCCCTCTCAGATTGAAGGACTGGCTGGCTGCGGGAAAACAAAAGGTCCAGCATCTTGTGCAGGAAGCAGAGACACGGACCAGAAATGAGCCGCTGGTTTGGTGGTTTGCACCATTAGAGATTCATTGAAGTGTGATTAGGCTTGCTAAAGCTGAACCCACTGGGATTTAGCTTTTTCAAAGACTAAAGTGCATAAACCTGCTTTAGATTCAGCTTCTATTAGCTCTGTGTAGCTATAGAGAAACTTTAGTTGACAAAAATCAATGGTAGGGCTGTCCCTTAATCAGAAATCAAGCTCAAATTAATTTAGTTAGTTTTCTGAAAGTGCAACAACTGCTCGTTGTGATGCCACCTGTTCGATTTTGAACAGCTCATTTATTTAATCTTTTCCCACGTTTAAATGAAAGTTCAACCTCGGGATAAGTTGGTCAAACCCTCTGCCATGCTCTAAACTGACCCCCTTTACAATTGTTAGCAACTTTATTTCAACACTTTTATATCAGCCTCCCATGTATCCATTTGTTTATCCATTTCATATCCATCCCTATGCTTACACTTTATTTTCTCGTTGTTTGCTCCCTGCGATTTATAATCTCCAAGTATACTTCTGCCATCTGTTAGGGAGTGATGTCACCAGCTGTGGCAGGAACAGTTTGTTTCGGTGGAAATGCTCTGCAATTATCAACGGCTGGTGGCTTCAGGTCAGCAGTTGCACACAGCCCTGTGGTGTGTTCAGGGAACTTTCAACCAGTCCAAGCACTGAAAAAAAGAAAGTCAGTTAGTTTACGAGCTTCTCTAAAGATAACTTTCTACAAGACTGACAGTATCTTGTCCTCTGATGTGTCTCCAGTTGGCCCGCCGTTAGAAACCCGCCCCCTCCATCAAAGTTTATATCAGACTGTTACTTTAAAGCAGTTGTGTGTGTGTCTTTATCACAACCATGTTTACAGCCTGGACCAGGATTAAAGGCCAAAGTGGGAGGAATTGTGTGTGTGTGTGTGTGTGTGTGTGTGTGTGTGTGTGTGTGTCTGTGTGTCTGTGTGTTTGAGAGAGTGTGTGTGTGTGTGTGTGTGTGTGTGTGTGTGTGTGTGTGTGTGTGTGTGTGTGTGTGTGTGTGTGTGTGTGTGTGTGTGTGTGTGTGTGTGTGTGTGTGTGTGTGTGTGTGTGTGTTATGGAGTGAGTCGGTTGTGTTTCCAAGGTCCACACTAAATAGGAGGAAGTAATAAAGGGAAAGACCGGAGGTAAACAAATACCGGGTTTCTGGGGTATTTTTAATATTTCTCTGGAAGGAAAATGGGTCGACTTTGACTGTGACTAACATAATATGTCGCTAGTTTAAACGTGATCAGCCTACCTTGGTTTCAGTACAAATACTGAAACCTTTTTAGATTGTTTGCCTTTGAAAACAGCAGCTTCATAAAAGAAAAATAGAAAAATAAATTAAATTAACTCTGAAGAAGGGAGTCCTCTTCTGTCATGCAACAAGTTGAGCTGTGTGCTGAAACTCTTTTTATCAGGCTACAAAATGATAACTTTGACCATGACAAATTATTTTAAAATGTGAATAAACAAGAATCAGAGTAAGCGGCTCATGTTGACTTTTGTAGGGGACAGCTTGAAATATATGATCTTCAGTTGTGAATGTTAATATATGGATGGATGGATTTTCGTCTAACCCATGTCCTGCAGCTTTTTTGGAGAGGTTTAACGGTCAAACACTCCTATGACGGCAATTCATACTGATCAAGGAATAAGGCAGATTTATTGTATAGTTTTCATACGTCAGCAAAATCCCTTGAAAACGTTCTGACTTGCTCTCTACAAATTAAGATGTACATCTTTAAAAACACCTCAAGATTTTCCTAAAACAACTGGTCACTGTAGTGTTTATGAAACGTCAGTATGTAACCAAAATGGGAGGAAATAGTGCTCTTGTTATGGACTATTTTCAGTTGCGGATGAATCCACATTTGGGGCTCTAACGGGTATTTGAGATGTGTGTGGGATTGGGTCAAAATACAGTGTGTCTGTGTGTGTGTGCGCGTGCGTGCGTGTGTGTGTGTGTGTTTGTGTTCATGGTAATGAAGAAACAAGTGCAACAGTGTGGTTTATTGATGAATTATATAACACATAGGTTTGAGCAAGCTCTCTGATTGGTCAATAGGCGTGTTTGATTCCACGATCAAACAACGATCAAATCGAACGTGCCTAATCACAAAGTATCCAGTGGCCTACACACGCCACTAGCCTACCGAAACTACTTCCATGAGCCTACATCGTGTGGTTTCCATACCGACGTTTAGCGACACACAGCCGTTACACTGTTATACATTGTCTCTCGTTGGAAATCGGTAGCTACAAAATGTCAGATTTTAAAGTTAATTTTGATTTGTTGGGGGGCCTCAGTATTGATGAATGGTTGGACATGGACACAGACCACAAAACCAACGAAAGATTTGCGGCTGTTTCAACTGACGAGTTGAGTGCGTTGGAAAAAAGGCTATCGTTACCATGGGAACTACTTTCTAGGAACTACTTTCTGACGGAGATTAACTCAAGCAGAAAGCGTAGGTTTGGGAGCAAATTTGCCCACATTATGAAATTATTTTACGATATTGTTGATTACAATGATAGTTTGTCTAATAGAATCGCAATCATACACTTGAGGCCGTTCTTGAACGTCATTATTCCAGTACAGGCGTACGGACCAGTGGCGGCACCAGAGATTTTCTCTAGGGGGTGCTGTGGGGTAGCTTGACGTTTCACAGAGGGTGCTCAAACTTTAAGGGTTTCCCATTAATAATTGGTTCGGCAGGGAGCGTCCGACTATGCGACTAAATAATAGTTCTTCGTAGACCCAGAAAGACTCGGAACGTACACTATCTACGCGCACCGTGCGAACCGTACTCTAATATCTCCGTCAAGGTAATAGATACACAGCATAAATCACACTTTCCCCAATCTCGACTTCGTCGTCTTTTCTGACCAAACTTGGACGTAAGTCTGGGGACACCAGCGAAAGATTTCCTGTCAAAACGTTGAAGGTCCTTGCACAGGCCTTAATTTGATAAATAGAGTACCTAAAAATAAGAAAATAGAGTGTTTTGGAACTTCTTTGAAAAAAATTTTGGAGTTAAACACGGTACATGGTTTTTCATACCACGCATACCTTCAGACTATATGTCATAGGTAAGAGACACGTATCTCAGGTAACACAGGTTGAAACGTTTTGTATTCGTAAGTATGTGCCCCGCAAGAACTGCAGTAATAACCATGCTAAGACGCCGTCCGGCTCCCGCGAAGGGGCTCCAGGCAAGGTCCCGCCGCGGTCCCCCCTCGTTCCCCACGACCTTCGTGGGGGGCCTACCGGTTTCCGTGGGGGATTCGTGGGTTCTGTATCAAAAAAAATAAATAAAAAATATAATTAACTTATAACGTAATGAGTGTAACGTTACACTTTGTTTGTTAAAAACTGGTTTGTATTTCGGTTGGGTCCACTAATCCGGTACCGGTCGTGGGAACTAAAAACCTGGATGGGGACCGATAATGAAACCTGAACCACTGAAGGGACAATCGACCGCGGGTTTAATAAAACATTGCCGCTCACTGTTTACTAGAAAAAAAACGGGAAATGCAGGGCACACCTGTGAGTTAGTTTTGTGGACGTCGCCTCCCTAAGACGGTATTATCCGAGCACTTCATGTTTCATCGAATGAAGACCAGAACACAAAGTAAGTCAACGAGACACACACAAAACACCGGCCGGTAAAACACACGCACGCGCTCGTGCACCCCAGGGGAGAAAAGTAATGTCTCTACAACAACCAATCGTACCACGACGATCGGTCGATTGCCCTATATTCCTCGAAAAGTTGTGTTTCACTCCCTCTTGAGAGAGACAGTCGACTCTCAGAGCTATGAGTCGAGTCCACTCATTTCTAAGTCAGAAACTACAATTGAAATCAGATCAATAGAGTCACCCAAGAGTTGCCAAACAATTTCCCCCTTACTAAAACAATTTATAGATATTTCTTTATCATTAGACAAAAGTCAAACAAATATACATAACTCTCTGACATAAGTACTAGAGAAATAAAAACGAAGAGTTCACGTGGTCAACACGAAGTTATAAAAATTTTTTTTAAGAAGGGTCCCTCGTACGGGGGCCGGGTGATCTCCTCCACCCTGGAGGATTTTCCCCACTCCCAGGTGAGGGTGAACATTTTACGGTGAAATGGGACGAATGGGAAAACGACACCGGACAATGCTCGGAAGAACATGTCAGCGCCCATGGACCACAACCACACACCCTCACAACGTCAGTATGAACGGTTGACCTCTGGAGTCTAGCCCCGTAAATGTTTACGTTTGTACCCCCCCCCCAGGTAAAAACAAGACAAAAAGACACTATAGACGAGTGGAGAAGTGAAAGTCACGCGCGCGAGGTTCTCTACACAATGGACCTGTTGTTACACATCGACAAATTCAGTCTCACCTTGTCAGGACTCATTAGACTAAACAGTCTTTAGCCCCTTAGCCCTCTTTATACTGGGCCCTCCTTTGGCCCTCTCCCGTTACGTTAGCCTCAAGGGCACTTTTAGCCCTCCAACGCATACCAGAACGTCACTTTAAGTTAACA